CGTTACAGTTTTTAATTCGAAGCGATTGCGACATAATGGCACTTCTGTGAATAAAACGATGATTGTTATAACGAAACCGGAGCGATAGCCGGCACCGGAGCACTAACTTTTATGTTCAATGTGTCATGTTTTAGTGTCATTATTTAAAAGCGTAGAGTGGTAATCGTTTAGTTTAACAACATTCGTTTCTGATCATTTTAAAGGAATTAATGGATTTATCAATATGTATTTGGAGAAATATTAACCTAGTGGAAACCTGATAAACGGTTAAGTATAACAACAATAGCATATTTTGTGTACAATCGAGGAATATTGTGGTGTTTCATCCTATAAAGGGACAGTTGTTTATTCTGCTACTTTTTTTTTACTATCCCTTCGTTTTAACAAAATAATTCTACCTAGTCGGTTTTTGTACAGAAATGCGGCTTTCGTTTCAAGAAAAAAGGTAATTAATTATAAAGTGGGACACTGCAAAGAGCCTTGACAATACAGAAATAGTGTTTCGAATTCTCAACATAATAAACGTTCAATTAAAATTGTAAGGTGTTATATTCAAACAGGTACATTTACTGTGTGTGATAAATAACTAATATTGTTATTGTAGATTACTTTAGGCTGTTGGAAACTAAATAACTAGTTACAGTACAATAACGTGGTAAATTACTTCATTGTGCTCTGCGCCAAACAAATCGCTAACAAAGCGTTAGAACTAAACACGCAGCCTACGACGCTTAACTATTGTGATTACGTTTAATATCAATATTATTTCAACACATTCGGTATATACGTATAATACACTAAAAGGACCTGAAGAAAAAAAAACATTAATAAAAAAAAGCCTATGTTTGTCAATTATAATGAAGTTTATGATTGGTAAATTATTTTTTTTAATTTGGAAAAATTAGTTTCAATCCATGTAAGGCAATAATTAAAATTATTTATGAACAATTTTATTACGAAAACTATTGTTATTATGGATAGCAGCAGATATTGACATATAAAATTAAAAATTAAAGATTTTTTTTTTATTTTTTGGACATACAACACAGTAGGTTCCTTTTGAGCCAGCAACAAAAACTCTCAAAGTGAAGTCTAGGCCTTTAAGCCGAGGATATTCAAACAACTAACTATAAGAAACTGAAACTACTAATAACGAAATATTCTTTGATGTTTATTGAATTGTTCATTGAATCAGTTACGTATTGTTTATGGTTTTGCTAATTAGTTTGACCGGATTATAGTTCATTTCAATACGCGAACGGTACAACCGATATGAAATCTGTGTTCCGTGAAATCCGGACTATCATTTTCCCAAAGTAAATTGGTATTTTAAAGCGATAAGATGAAATTGCTGGTTACTGTTACTTAAATTCCTACTGGTTACTAACAGTTAATAAAAATGTTACTAAACATTCATAGAAAACCAAAGAAGCGAGGGGTCCTATTGCATTTCAAAATAGAACTTTGTATTCTACGCCTACTTTAGCTTCCCAATACTAGAGTTTATTCTTTAATCTAGTCTGTAGTATTTCGTCGTATTTGATGATTTATTCAAATACATGTAACGCGTCATAATACAGCCATGGTGGTATATTGTATAATGCAGACTATACAATCAGGTCCCCATAAGAAACATGAACGAGACAATTTCCCGCCCACGCTCTTATTAAAGTAATTACGAACAAAGAGCCGCTGGAAAATATGTTCATTAAAATTATTTGTAACGTACGTCTCTGTGGTTATATTGTTATGTGAATACGTTATATTACATTTATTACTAAACCTCCTATTTATATGTTAATTAAAATTCATAACATAATAAAATAAAATGTGCTATACGACATTCTAAAAAAAACTCAATAGCAAACCTTGCATTTGACAATTACAATGCGAATTAGAATTTTTCCAACGTTCTGTATATTGTTCCTATATAAAGTCATTGTTTATCTTTCTATTTATATTAACACAGTAATAAAATATTGCAATGGTAGTCTGTTTCGTTTATAACATACAAATAGTGAAGGCGAGTAATTCAATCTTTGGTATGACATAACATCATTATCATGCAAACGAGAAGATCAGGTATCACGTAGTTAGTGTCGGCAAAATATCTAGGACATATCAGCCGTCTCGCTATCAACATGCAGCAGAAAGGAGATGAACAGTGATAAAGCCTCCTGGCCGAAGATAACTAAGTTCTCTCGATGACGTCATTGCCACTGAAAAACCCAATAATCAATGTTTAAATTCTATCCGAATATTGTTTCAATTACCTTAAATATGTGTATTTCGTGTGTGTTGTTTCTATTGCTATTGCAGTTTAAATGTTTTTGAATCGAATATGTTAGAAAGTTAATTAATAGTTGTTTAGATAAGCAAAAACGGATTCAGATCGATAGTTAGTTCGGCAGTTAGTTTATCAAGTTGTAGTGAAGCGTTATTACTCTCTTCTTATTCGAATAATTATTAAAATGTGTTAATTTTAAATGCTTCATATTGAGATGCAGATTGTTTGTCTCATTTTGCGTTTCCACTGCTGCTGTCGTTAAACATTGACTTTGTGCTCTCGGCTCCCTAACGTAGATTGGAAATAGCACAAAACATTTTTAATTATTATCATCAAATTAATTAATGTTTGTCTTGGATTGTTTAATAAATTTAGATGTTTAACTTCTAAATTATTTGCTATCTAGGGTTCTTACTTTAATTGAAAAGTAATTGTTACCTGGTAGATCTAAGTCACTGATAAACTCCTCCATGTCAACAGTCCGTGCGGCGCTCGCCAGCAACAGCGCCACCACCAGCTGCAGCACTACGCGCCGACAATCCGCACCACACAAGCTCACATCCAAACACGAAAACTTCTCCATTTCATTTCTCATTTAATCCTCTATAAATATCACTACATCATTATCTAAAAATAAATCCAAAACTTTATTTTTAGATTAATCAATTTAACTCATACACACTTATTTTTTGTACCACTACAAGTTCGGACATTTCACATATGTGTCCTCAGCGAATGTTTATAATACCGAAGTCGGGACACGTGTTCGTGTATAAACAAATCGAGATGGGATCAACGGGAGACGTGCGTCCGACGCGGCGGCGCGGCCCGCACTGATCGGAAACCGATAGCGGCCGGCTCATACTCAAACAATACATGAAAAAGAAAACCTCACGAGAATTTTGAAATGCTGAAGCAACCCTGAACGTTACGTGATTCCCGGACGAGCGCCTGACGGACGATGATTGTCATATTTGTAAACGAACCGTTCCGCGAACTCGTTCCCAAGTTAGCTTATGTGCCTTATTTGGTTATAAGCTATTGTATGTATTTATATTTGTGTAATGATTAGTTTCTTTTATGTTGCAATAACTGGGGAATAAAAAGTCGCATGTTCGTCTGATTGCCGTCGAACCTTCGACACTTGTGAAAGTTCCAGTAGCGAGTTTATCAAAGCTCTCCCCAGCCATTATCTAACTAATCACCAATTGTGCTATAATTCTTGAGGACAAATAACTGTCGCCCTAAAATTAATTTAATGTTTGGTAATGAAGTCGCTAAGGTATAAAAGCTACGGGATAAATTACGGGAACTAATGCTGTTGATGAAAACAGATTTTTTTTCTGTTGTTTTGAATCAATTAAAGGAAACCATTTGACATCCGCAGCTCAGGGCGCTGTCTGGAGGCATATTACCTAATAATACTCACTGTTCCTGTGAATAAATAATTCGGTCAACGTAATATCAGTTTCGAAAATTATTCAGAAGTTAAGTTTAAGAGTAGGAATACCCAGTACTTAATTTAATATAAGATGATCTTGTTTATGTAAATAAAAAGTCGTGAATAATTCTTACCGAAAGTTAAGTTAGCGGAAAACCTCCAGTTTTCCCATTCTCATAGATATAATGGTGTAGTCAGTGATATTAGTAATTTGGGATTATCTAAACGCAATTTTCAGCAGAGCTTGTTGGCCTGTCGCCAATTTAATGGTCAAGTCAACTAAATTCCATTGCAGCTTTAGGAAATGCTATTGTTATCGTTTTGTGTGAAGACAATAAATAGAATAAATCATTTTTATTTTACAAACAACACTAGTTATTTTGCTTGTTTTTTATATCCGTAAAAATTATACACGTATGTGAAATTCAGTTCATTTGTTTATATTTAAAAATAATTTCGAATATCAACTATCATTACCAACATGTTAAAACCAAATTACGTGTTTCGTTGAAATCCATAACCAAATTAAAATTAAAACAGACCTCAGTGGAAATTACTTCACATATTTCTGGGAAAATATTTTCTAATAGTTACTGTTGCTCTGATTCCACTGTCGGATACAAAATTGAAATATGGAGTTAATTTTACATTATGTTCTGGTTTGTAGACGGAGGGCAATGCTTATTACTATCTTAAGAATTACTGTATCACCTGATTTTCCAACAAACCAAGTAAGTTTTTCTGCGAATGTAATATCCTCTTGCTCGCAGATACTTCACGTTTAGTTCGAGACTTCAATGAATTGCACTCGATACAGATGAACAAGTTTATTGTAGAAGCTCTAAAGCAACTTTTAGCACGAAAACACAAACATTTGAAGTACACACAATTATCTTCTTGAACATGCTGCTTAGTCACTTACTGCCGCACTCACAGTTAACTATTAACTAAAGGACAAAGTTAGCGTTAAGATATCTAGCGTTCATAAACTTGATGCAGTAGTGTATTGGTAATTTACTTACTTACTTACTTACTGCTTAAGGTGGGTCTTGGCCTCCGACACGAGAGACCGGTATGGTAATATTTAACAGATCAAATATTAAATCAACCTTAAATAATTTCATTAATTAAAAATAAATTGGAATTGTCATTCGTATAATTCATTTTAAGACTTCGGCAAAAGCGCGTTGACCCGCGCTCGTATCAACATTATTTTACTGTCCCAAAGCCCTTTGTACGGCCGTCACTATAGTTGCGGCGTAGCTGTTATTGTTTCTACCAACCGTTGATATATTAACTAAATTTACTGTAGCTCCCGTAGACTAGCTGTGCTACGATACGTCTACGTTGCTACGTTGATCCGATTTAGTTTATTTTTCTTTTTAGCTCCTTAATATCGTTCATTAATTTTCAATTGCCTATAATATTAATTGAGCTGTCATACGCAGAAGTTTCTTTTTAATTCGTTTTTTAGTTCTTTAGATTATGAAGTTTGAATTGCAAATAACACGTATTTATTTACCAAAATGTAGTTAAACAAATGAACGTTAAATGCTATTTAAGTGTTATACTTAATAACTAATCCATATAATATGTACTCTAAATACTTAAACATAATTATTGCAGGTTAAGCAGTATTCAGTATTATACATTACTTGCTTTCGCCCGCGACTCCGTCCACGTGGAATAAAAAAAAACAAAAGTATTGTGTGTTTTTCCAGAATATCCTCTACATCTACACCAAATTTCATAGAAATCTGTTCAGCCGTTTAGGCTACAAACTCTAACAAACATCCATCTAAAGTTTCTCATTAATAATATTAGTATGATGTTGTCTGAGGCTATATTAAGTCCAACTTTCGTGCGTCGACTCCGGGGCTTGTAGTAATGATGTTGAGTGATAAGAAACGTGTTCTGTTTGTAAAATAATATATTGATGCTCATCTCGGCTTTATTTACTTATAAAATTAAGTAACCCCTGAGCCTTAATGTGGGCTTCGTACGAATCAAGAAATCAACTCAAAGATATTATTGAATTTAATATTTCGTTAGTGAATTTTGTTAGGTTTTTTCAATTAAGTTCTAACAAGTTGCCGAGTACTTCTAAGTATCATAACTTTATTTGACAGATAAAAAAAAAACTTTATAATACTAAAGGTAATGAAAAAGTAAATACAAAATCGAAATAAAAAATACGCAGTCTCTCATAATTTTAGTAATTTAAAACGTCCAATTTAGCCTCAAGAAATTCGTTTGACATTTCAATTTCAGCTCTTAAGATACAGCTGACCCTGTTTATGCGAATTAAGAAAAATAATTAAATATTCCTTTTGGTCTTCGTATATTTAATGAAGCGGAATGAAATCGTCAAATGGAATTGAAAAAACATCGCCTCAGTGAAGACCAGCAAATGTTTGGAATGACCGCCCAATGGACGACTGTTGATAACATTGAATTATTTTTATAAATAAATGATTTTTTTAAATTTCATTAATTCAATTGATAGAAAAGTTGTTTTTTTTAGTTAGTCTTCTTAAGACGTAGGTATTCTCTCTCTCATGTTACTAAAATTTACCTTTTACGAATGAATGCTAAATACTGTATAGAACCACAAAGTTAAATGTTATTATTAAATATTAATCCTTTAACGGTGTATAATAAAAACTTTTGTCACAATAATTTTAAGGGCGATTAAAGCGCTCGGCTTTGGGACAACAAATTGCCTTCGCTAATTCCGCAATAGTAAAATATCTTATCTTAACAGCCGGTAATTTAGACGCAAAGCAATAAAATGACATAACTTCAGCTTCTCTTGTCGCCTTCCTTTATGATAAAGGTGAATAATACAAGCAAAGATGCGAATTGTAACAAAGTTATTACACAAATTAATAAAGGTGCTATGACACAACTGACGGTGGAAAGATCTGAAAAGTTCTCGAGTGACGGCCATGTACAATGCAGACTAACATTGACCCAATAATTGTGAGGATTATGATAAACACAGTACTCGTATATTATACATAACAATACATAAAGAAGCAGTTCGCGGGGCAGCAGAGCGGAGCATGTCCGTCGCATTACGTGTCACATCAGTATTTACATATGACGTACAGTTTGGCGCGCGCTACGAATTCTGATTTTTGGCTAATTCCCAACAGAGGCAGGATTTAAGTAGCTCCCGTCTATTATATTACATAATGATGTGTTTGTTTGTTCACAACTACGCGTATAATTACAATGAAATCAATATTTGCTTAGTAGAAGCAAAAAAACCAAGAATGTTCATTTAGTATGAAAACAGAAATAGTTATATGTAAAAAAAATCTACAACATAAATATCTTCATCATTACATCACAATGTGTAAAGTGCAACGATCTGATACAAAGCCACGCTATATAACTTAGTATTTTATAGCTCGAGCGCTGTCTACTGAGCCATAAAGATAAGCTAAACTGTTGCCATTTGTAATTTGTGATTCGTTAAGCGTTCCCGCGCTGCCACGCCTCATCCTAGCCATCGCCACTCTGAATTGAACCACATTTCTGTTGCCGAGAACAGATGCTTTATGAAAATCTCGGTAAAGTATTTTTTAAACAACGTTAAACGATCATTTCAAATCATGCTTGAAGAAAAATTGTTTCTCTTCGAATTAACAGAACGCTAACAAAATTAAACCAAAATGATTTAAGTATAACACATGTTACAAGATCCCAGAACTAAACAACAAACGGAACATAACTTTAAGGAAACGTTTTCAAATACTAGCTGTGATAACATTTACATTCCGAGTAGCAATTGCTTTGTACAGTTAGCGGGACGTAAGTGGTACTCAACAGGCGCCCAAAATAAACGGCGCCCAGTCCTTAGAAAAGTAAATTATTTTCCGGCCTAAAGCGACAAAGAAAGGAAAACATCACAAGTCTGTGATCCAAGAAGACTATAAAAGTCAGAAATAATACCACATAAAATCTCCCTTGTTCTTTTCTCTTTTATGTTTATTTAAGGGGTGTTTAAAAACATATTTTTCTGGTTGCAAATAAGATTAAAAATAAATACTACATCGAAAAATGGTAATGCTAAAAACTTTATCATCCTCGGATCAAAATATCCACGGCGTTTATTCCATTTGGAGTTATTTTTTATTTCATATT